CTATATATAAACTATTCCCCATCCTCTGAAACCTTTCCTCTCACATCACTATGCCCATAGTTACAAGACTATTTACTTACAGATTTTTAAACATCTCTTGGCAAACTTAAAAACTGCATCCCTAGAATTCCATTGCAAGTACTTAACTCACTTAAAACAGACAGTAGAAATATGAAATCTGTGTAGTTTCATACTTCATCTTCAATGCTATAAAATCTCTTGTATGCTCTCCTTAGACCTAACAGACACAAGCATCAAGCTGCATGTCAAGCAGAGCTGTGGATAACCAAACAAGCTCTGACACTGGAGCCAGAGAGAGGCAGCAGCACTGGGGTTTTGGTGCTGCAGAATAAACTCTAAGGCCCACAGGGAAATCTAAATGGTGTATTTTTCTGTTTACCTTCAGGTGACAATGTCCAAATGCTGCAACACATCACTGACTGTCTGTTACACAAACTCCTGTCACAAAGAATAAAAATGGATGGCTGAGTAATGGTCAGGGTGGACCTTTCGCCTCTTGCCAGCAGTACTGAGCAGAGATTTCAAAACAGCTTGGAAACAATATGCAGCCAATCTAGACCTATAGAATCAGCCCTAGGATCATCAGCATTGCAGAGACATCAACTCACCTCTGAGCAGAGAGAAGGCAGTTGCTGGAGTTTCTCAAAGGACTGTGCTGCATCGACTCAAGTCAGTGAAAGAATTTCCTGCTTCACAACCTGTTTTCCCAACTCTGATCACTGACAGCACTGAAGAGGTTATTTTTCCCTTTTTAAAAGCTTGCACTCTGATTTCATTGAAGAAATATGATATGCCCTTCTCCATAGAGAAAAAGAACATTTAAAAATAGGATACACTCTAAAATACTATGAGTGTTTCCTCCACGTAAGACCCTAAAGAGATTTTTGTTTTGATCTAAGTGCATAATAAAAAGCCTAACAGCAAATACATCTTAACAGATGAAGGGACAGGATTTCCCTTTCTATTTTCATTCACTGCCACCCCTTTCTACATCTTCCTGCACAACTGACAGTTCACCAACTGCAAAGCAAGGACACCTCAAACATGTGCAAATAGAGATCAACATGCTGGGAACAGTGCCCAGCCCATAGTGAAAGGCAGAGCTTTACCTCTACTGTGCATATTGGTCTCCAGGGTATAAAAATGTGCCTTCAGGGGGTTGGAGGAGGGAGGGATGCTCAGCAGCAGATGCAGTTTCCTGAAGAGAAGTCACCTTTTATGTTAAGGTACAGCTGCAAAAGTTGTGCAGTCAAGAAATCTCGTATTTGTCTACTATGTAATATATTCCACATCAGCAATCGTTCCTATCAAAATGGATATATCCAAACCAAATATTGCAGCAAAACAGCCCTCTGAACAGGCATCTGATCATTTAAAAAGACAACAGGCAGCCTGGCAAAACATTCTAGTGCTACAGACTATGGTTCTTTCAGTGCTTCTTTCAGAACACTTTCCTGAAAATTATTTAACTCCCTTTTTTTTTTTTCACATTTAACTTCACGTAACCCTTTCAGGCTACTCTGAAGGAAAATGTTGAATCAATCCACGTTCTAAAATGCCTCAGAAAGGAGAAAAATCCCAGCAGTAAATCCACCTAATTAAGTGGGGGTGTATCTAGCCCACAGCTATTATCACTTCTCAGCTTAATATTTTTAACCACTCTGCACGTGAAAGAGGCAGTAAGCTCTCCTCATTATTTCTCAAATGGAGCTGAGTAGATCTAACCCAAATTATGGCAAGATAAACCAGACAACTTAAGTGATGAAAATTGTCCTTTTCCCTCTGCTTTAGGGACACTTCTGGCTCATCTGTCCTCTGATCACGGTGAGCCTGCGAAAGCTGAAAATTACACTGTGTGACTGGATTGTATGAGATTATCTTTCCCCTGAGAAGTAATTTATTTTAGTGACTCTTAATGAATAAGAAACTTTCTGCTCCAACAAGCTGCTCTTCTTATGTGGGCACAGCTCCTCATTGCTTTGAGTGAGAGATTACAGAAAAGAAACTGAGAATCCAAGTGGCTACATCATCTTTATGGTTCAAAGACAAATTTGGGTTATAAGGCAGACCTTCAGGGAACACCAGTTCCATGAAAAGTGGGAATTATTGCCATTAGTTTGTGGGTTTAACTGCAAAAGTTACTGGCATATCTTCCACTTTTTTACTGTGAGCAAAGTCCAGCTGGGGTTTTGAGAGTTCTTGCTTTGTAGAATTTGGGGTTTCTTGACCTTTGGATGATTCCAGAAGATGTTGCATGTTAAGTCTGAAAATAAGGCGAGGATCTGGTCCAGAAAGGGATGGGCAATTGCAGCTCTCTCTTATTTTAAGAGCCTGTGAACACATAGGAAAACAAATCAAGCTCATTTAAACAGGAAAAACAAACAAGGTTTCAGGCAGTGATTTGGCTTTCCAGTGAGATTTCCATTTGCACACAAAGCTTAGTAACACTGAGCCTGAGTTGGTACTGAACAACTTGTTAACAGAAACCAGGAATTCCTGTGAAGAAATGTAGCAATATGGTAAAACAATGGAAAAATGAAGAATGAAATTACTTTCTCACAGTGTTCCCAAGGATGAACACTCTAAAAGGTGCAGCATAAATAGGCAGGAAGTTCTCCAATTGTTTTATAGGATACTTAACCACATCAGTAGCGTTTTATCTTTTCATTTCCATTCACATGTAAATTGAACTTTGTGTAACCCTTTCAGGTTACTCTGAAGAAAAATGTTGACTCTATCCATATTCCAAAATGCCTCAGAAAGTGCAAAATCCCAGCAGGAAATCCACCTAATTAAGTGAGGGTGTATCTAGCCCATAGCTATTACTGCATCTCAGCTTCACAGTTTTGTATTTACATTCCCATGTAAATGAAAACGCATCAAGAAAAAAAGGGCTCTGAATAATTTACTTCATTAGATATGTTCTGTTATTGAAGTAACTGTATATAGATGCCTGACTCAAAAAAGGAGGGAAAAATCTCCATAACATAATGAATATTTAACTGTTTGGCACAGAGTCCAGCAGCATAGCTAAGGTTCGCCTACAGAAGTGATCTCATCTCCAAGAAGCATTTGGATACACAGCTTCCAAGTATTATGGGAAAACAATGTCTCTAGAATATAACAAATTGATCAGGATAAAAAGATCAGCACCAAGAGACCAAACTTTATGTTACTCCTGCTCAGTAAGTTCCATTGTTTCCATTCCACAGACAGGAAAGGAGAGGCACAAAGGAGCCAAAGGATTTCCCAAAGAATCAAAATCCATTAGCACAAGCACATTCCCCCCAGATCATCCTGTCTTGCTGGCAAGCTGAGAAAGGTATGACAATGGATCAATCTCAAGTCTCAAAGGCACTGTAGAGAAATTGGGATCAAACTGCATGCAGCTTTGGTTTTAATCCTTCCATGGGAAAAGAAGTTCAAATGTACATTTGATTCCACTTCATAACCACTGACACTTGAAAATGGCCAGACCTGTCCTGAGCTGTAGCCTCCTGGCCAGGGCTTGGGGCGGCAAGCAGGAAAGGTGGGCTGATTAATTTGTTCTGCGTGCATTAAAGAGGAGGAAGGAAGTAACACAATTTTCACAGCAGCCCTAGCACTGCCCTTAAAACAGAGCAGAAATTTTTAATCTGCTTTATATACACTACATTTGGCTGAAATATCAAATCAAATATTCCACAATTTGCCCACCATTTTGAAATACTTCGATTTCTTCCACAGGGAACATCTTACTACAGCAGATTTTAAAACAGAAGAGCAGAACTTCTTAACTCATTCCTTTGTATAAGGAGGTTCCAAAACATTTCTCCCTAACTTTACTACAGTGAACTGATAAAGAGTTTGCTGTAAATGGCTAGAAACAAATCAATTTTAAATTTAATAACTGGTATTGAAAAAAGACACATTCCACGAATGTAGAAAGAGCTTCTCCAGCTGTTTCTTGCTGAAATATAACATTCAAATTATTGGATACACAAGCCTGGATTAAGCATGCAAATACTGCTCTTATCCAACTTTTTAAAAATAGGAAAAAAGCCTCCGCAGCTTGTTTTTCTACAGCATAACAACCCCTGTAGTCACCAGATGTAACTGCACTGCTGAATACTTCTGCTTCGGTGACCAGTTAAATTCTAAACTGGCATTAATGATAACCCAAGAGTTTTTTCTTCTTCTCTTCTAGAACATAAGCTGCTGCAAGTCTGCATTAATGTCAAGCAGTGTTATTCAAGGCAGATGGAAATATAAAGATTTAGGCTGTATCCCAGAAAGGGAAATGTAATCCTCTTTGCAACTAATTTAGCCATTTTGGATCTCTGGGATTTCTGGCTATATAGTGCCTATTCCCAGGGTTTCACTTCCCTAAAGTCACCACAGCAAAGGTAAAAAAGACTACTTCAGAGCTAACATTTTTACCCTGTGGATGTCTGAGTTCTTGCTAGACAAAGCTGTGCAAGGGGGTAGAAAGCACCTGTTGAATACCATCAACCCAGAGACCACTGAAAAGACTATGGATAAGGAAAGGAAAAGCACGTTAACATGTCATTTTGCTGTTCAAGACAGCAGTAACCACACACTCTAGTGGAAGTAGCCTGTGTGTCTGTTTGTGACTGCCACACAACATCCAGCCCTAGCCAGAAAGTGTCTGTCCCTGGCTATGTTGGTTGCTGCTGGTTCATTCAGTGCCAGTAGGTCTATAACATCACTGAGATGCCACAGGCTGAGAAGCTTACAACATCATTGTTGCTGAAACATAAACCAGCCCAGCATGGGCAGCCACACAGGACTTCCAAAATCACTGTCAACTTCAGATCTGGTAAATTAACACTGCTCAAGTAAACTGGGTTTAGACAGTTTGAGTTAGAGTACAAGCTAAAGCACCAACAGTGAAGCACACAGACTAGTATGGCAGCAAGAACCTGTTTCACTGACTGTTTGTACTGAAGAGTGTTCTCAGTAAAGAAGACAGAGCTGAGACAAGGTTAACTAGCTAGAATGAGGATGCAGATTCACCTGAGGGTACTTTAATGCTGTTCTTTCCAGGTTAACCTTAACAGCCAAGTGCTGCTGCTCAGAACAAACAGCACCTGTCTGGCTTGCTGGTTCAGGAGATCCCAAATCAAGTATCAAAACTACTGCTTGTAAGTAACAAAGGTGAAGCTGTTTGTCTGATCACTACAATCAGAGTCACCTCCTACAGCGTGTTGGGAGCAGGGTGGGCATAAGAATGAGGGAGATCTACCTCATCCTATCATGTAAAGCCTGTCAGCAGAGACAAATATGGAAATAAGTAATTTTTAGCTCCCAGTATTAATCCTTCACCCTGTCACAGACACCAACAGCTGCATCTTGAGTCTTTTGGAGAACATCCCGCACCACTCTGTCAGCTCTCTCAGGATAAAAGTCACATTATCCTCCTGTGCACAAACCAGACCAGGGGTTACAGTCTCTTGTGTGTTACCTGTGATTACCACACTAGGGTTGACCTATGCTCTGCCCTTGCAGTGCTGACAAACACTAAGAAACAGCACAACCTGTAGGGAA